AAATACTTTAGTCGATAAAATATATCATATTAAAAATGTGAGATTTTCTACATGAATGACTTGATACAAATCATTTATGTATTGTCATGATTTCAATATTCTGAAATTTTCAATTGAAAACTTAAACTATAATTAAATATAAATTGTTAAAATCTCAAATAGCAACAAATATCGATAAAGCATCTTAAAAGTTATTGATTTTCATTTTCGTTTTTTTTCAATTTAAATTAATTAGTTGTAAGAATAAAAGTATTTTTTCCCAAATTTTTAGTTTAAAAAGATTTGAACGTGTTTCATTGTAACTTTAATTATATCTCTTCAAGATATCATAGTCGGTGTGCTCTTGTTAGGGCAATCACAGCCAAATCAATAAAACATATAATGCTATGCCTATAATGATTTAGAAGATGTTTGTTACAGATTAATCCCTAGGTGAATTAAAAATTTTATAAATTTTCATTAAAAAGCTTGATATGATATGATATTAAGCTTTTTATCAAATTTCAATGAATTCAATCAGCTTTTAGTTTGATAAAAAGCTGATTGAATATTTCTTCTATTAAAATAAATTGTATATCAACTTTATTATTTTAAAATTTTATTGAAAAGACTATTGTTATTCACTTTATGTGATTCACGGAAACTATTTAGTGAAAATTTTGAGACACTAGCTATTATTGAAATTCATATTATTGAAATTAAAATTCATATTTGCACGACCATGCATCCTAACAAACACAATCCCATCGGCACGAAAAAAAATATTTGTTTTTGGCCAATTGTATGCAAAATTTATAATTTTTTATTATATGTAAATTGATATTTTTTTAAACAGATATCCACTGACACTCAAACAGAAGTCATTCGAGTAATAACACAAGAATTGGCAGTAATATTCATGAGAAAAAAAAATTAACATGAGACAAAACGAAGTACGTGGGTCACTCATTAGGGCTACATCCACGGGAAGTCATGATGCGAGCCGATAATACAATAGCGTGCGGAACATAAGATCCACTAGGAGTTTAAGTACTCTAGTGCCAGTCAACTACAGAATACTATGAAAAACAAGTTCACCTGAATAATGAGTAAACTTCAGTACTGTTTCAATTTTGATTGTATATTTTTCTATAATAAAATTTAATTAGATTTTTATGATACATATTTTAATAATATATTTTTGAGTTAAAATAAATAAATATATTTGTTCGTAAAAATAAAATTAATTCAGTGTAAATTTTAATGTAAAAAAATTATTTTACAATTGTAATGATTTTTTGTAATTTTTTATTAAATTTTTTTTATGTATAATCCTTGTCTATGACGGTTGTCAATGACACCGGTGAGTTGAGCTAGTCATGATTGAGAGTAAATTCAATCTGGTTGATTAGTTGACCAAAGTTATTTCTTTGGTGAGTTTTAGAAGACATTGTGCTATAATGCATGTTTGCATGAAGAACACAAGTAGTAATTAACTCTATAATTTTACTCTATCATGTATTGGCTACAACTTGGTTTCAATTTAAAGAGTTAAATTTGTTAGGTTTTCTTTTAGCATTTACTTAGAATAATTAGTTATGCTAATGAACTTACTGTTCCCCAACATGTGTTAACAGGAAGATTGTTAGATTTAATCCTTGTCGATGATGCATTATTTGTGACAGTGAGTTTAGATGATTGAGTCAATGTTTCTAGTAGTTTATATCTACTTAAAGCGATAAACAAGGACTTATCGGCTTGAACAGAGTAAACATTTCTGTGGACTACTACATGAATGAATATTCTTGTCATTGTCTGGCTCTCTTGAGTATTTTTTTGCATTTTGCTTAAAAAATCGAAATTCTTTAAATCTGTTTTTGTAACTAATATTTTTAATGATGCAATATATTATGACATAAGTATATTTTTGTCATCCAAAAATGTATTCATAGAATTAAAAAAATTTATTAAATTTCAAAATTTCAAAATAATGATGTGTAATAAATATTTGCTATAGATTAATTTGACGAATTAGTTTCAATCTATCAAAAATAAAAATATCATAAAAATGAATTTTCAAACTATCATGATTTTATGAATACACACTTTAATCAATCAAAAAACATCAATTGATATGAACTATAGATTCTAAAGAAAAAAATTATCTTCATATTATTAATTTTACTATATATATAATATTTTGACATTCTATCAAATTTATATATTTGGATGATTTGAATGTTTCAACAACAAATGATGCTGAAAAAAATTATTTCATAAATAATCATTCCATAAAAAAATGTATCACTAAAAATTTTAATGATCAACATACAATTATCTGATATCTTTGAATCAAATATAAATGATTTTTAAGCATAATTATGTGCATTTTTTTTATTTGATTCACTTTCAAGAGTTTTTGTAACATCAAATTTGTTAAAATAATATGTTTAAAGGTTGAAAAAAATTTCCAAGAAAGCAAATATATTTTGATAAAACTAATCAAGTGTGCATGTACTTTATCAACTTTAGACAACCTTTACTACTGTGTACAAAGTGTCCAGCTCATTTCAATGCCAAAAATCTTTTAGTGGCAAAAAATGGGAGTAAAGTTTATCTCATAAATTTTTTTAATATATCCAGCAAGATAAATACATAGTCTCTTGAGACTTTATGTACATTAAAATAGATGGTAAACATCAAATTAGAGGTGAATAATGATTGAAGTATTGATACTGTTCATTCTTCTGATTAGTTTCTACAAAGACGGTTAAAATACATGTAAAGTATGATAAAATTATATGAAAAGAATACATTTAAAAGATACACTCATTTTTCATATATTTCCGCATACATTCCAAGCACAAGTCTGTATGCAATCACAAAACAAGATAATAACAGAGGTGTTGCAAAAAATACATGTCATAGATCCAATTTTACATGTGAATTTGGAAAAAATACATGACTTAGTAACACATAATAAGTTACCCACTGGTTTTATCTAGTGCAAAGTTGTCATAAATATAACATTTCATATAAATATCAAATTTCTTCAACCGTCATAATACTTATTATACAAAATGCGTCTATTAGGTGAGTCAACCAAAAGCGCTAGAGGAGAATATATCAATCACTACTTGTAATTTGTTTCATGAAGTATTGTCTTGTATGTGCAATCTATCTCCAAATAGTGAAATAGATAGGTAAAGTGAGAAGAAAGTTCTCAGATAAAATCGATGATTATAAAAAATAGATGATATTCGTCTATTGATATCGTAATTCCTATGGAATACTGCACATAGAGAATATCGTCTGGAGAAGAACAAGCCTTGCCTATTGACCTGGAGCCTTTAGGATAAAATCAAAGCTTTGTCTAATTTGCAGTCAAAATGATGATTTATCGCTTGAGATCTTCCCCGTTTTATGCTCTTCAGTTGGCCACTTCTATCATTGACATCTTTCTATATTTTTGCTACATTCCTTTAATCCCTTCGTTATATTCATCGGTCCCTAGTCCGAATTGCCCATCAGGGGGTGCAGGGGCTGCAGGCACAGACTCTAATGCAAGAGGGCGGGGTAGAGCCAGTCAACTATGCTACCACGCTAGTCGCGACTTACTGTATTGTCCACTGGTTTGTCGCTGTAATTGTGTTCCTAAGGTGGGTTCAGCAGCTAAATTTAGCTGTTCCGCATACTGTATCTATACTCCCCGACCTCATACTGCACAGCCAGAGCAGCCGGTAGAATCTCTCTCATTATCATTAAATTACAAAGGAAGTGGTGATCTTCAACAGCATATCAACGCAGCATCCGGTCAAATTCCAGTCGTAGTACGAGTTCAACCAATAATATATTGTCGTCACACGAGAGGACTTTTTAGAATTTACACAAAACCTCTTTTTTCATGATCAGTTTCACCGGTGAAGGCCGGATGGATACTCGAGAGTTCCGGTACTCGAAGTTAGATTCCTATTTGATATGGAAGTGGCCAATAGGATATCAGATAAACTGGCCGCTGACCGGCCAGTGAAGATGATTTTCTTCGAATAGCTCCGCACGCACCCTTGAGGTAACCGGTTGGTTGCCGGTGTGGAAGTGGAAATCCAATCTCACTAACCAGACCCTTACGATACAGTAACTTTGTAGCCTTCCCAGTTTATTGGAATTCCAATGCCTACTGGCACTGTGGCAGTAGGAGAAAGATCCGCGCCTCAGTGGGTCCCGCGTGGGTGGGGCCATCTTGCAAAATCTCATGGGCGGGCGAATGTACTACCAGTCACACGACGATACTGTCAGTTCGTACAAGAAACCGGACTCCCTCCGCTGCCAGATATCCTTGTCGAATACTGCACTGTGGCGACTTCAGCCGCTTCCGTACTCGGAAAGAACCCGTGAGGAATTAAGAAGTCGTCAAAGTAGCGCGCCTCTATTCTGCGTCGCGATCCTTGATATCGATGTTATTTTCCGCGAATATATGGGCGCGGAACAGGCTTGGTTATATTGAGAGAGTGGTGGGAATATTACCAAAATAGTGGAGAGTAAGTCGCAAGACTGCCCTATCAAAAAGGACCTTCCATGAGAAACTCCGCAGATTTAGGGGTCGATATATATTTATTTTCAGATCAAATAGTTAAAAACCCAGATTTCTCTTTGGGGGGCCCAGATGGGAAAGAAATTATTATTCTGATTCTGGTTGTTAATCTGTATTAAATTCGCCGCTGATAAATGTCCACCACACTGCTTGGGATTGATGATTGAGGGTGACATCAGCGCTGGCGCAAAGGGTCTCTGCGACTTTGAACACGAAACGAGTTGACCGGAGGTGTCGAGGGAAACATATCTCTGGAGTCGAGTAAATATCCGGAGAAAACCACGACGACTTGCTTTTGTACTGCGGTTAGAATGGATAACCGGAGGATTCTGCGTTCGAATGGTGGCACTTGGGTTGGTGTTGGGGCCTGACCGAAACCCTAATCAATTCTCTGCTCTCCCTTCGCTGCTTTCGTCTGTTCTGCATCGTCCCGAGTCCTCCGCTAGAGAGCAGGAGAAGAGCTCGGGTGCCCTGCGCCAGAGGGACGTGGAAGTGATCGATCCAACAGCTGGAAGCACTTCGGGTTAAGAATGAAAGATTAATCAGCCGAAGGTGGATCGACGAAAGGAAATTGCCAGATGCGTGTATGGATCTTGAACGAGGATTTGGAAATCAAAATTGGCAGAGGTTCGGCATCACGCACGATAGATCCTAGCGAAGGACCGTAGCCACAGAGTTGTGGCTGGTGGGAATCACAGAGGGCGTCAGGATGGTGAACTGGTTGAATGGTCTCCTGTATGGAGCCGGGGGGATTTTAGCTACTTGTATGGTATTACTGGTAACTATGCAGGAGAAATTGGTTTATGTTCCGGTAATTCCTGGTATGTCCAAGGGTTATCAGATCACTCCTGCTAGGCTTCGTCTTAAGTATGAGGATATCTGGCTCACAGCCGAGGACGGAGTTCGATTGCATAGCTGGTTCATCAAGTTACAGCCTGCTGTTCAAGGTTTGTGGCTCATCTAGCTTGCTGAGCAGAAATTGTAGTTTAGATGGGAATTGTCGATGAAGTGCTGAGGGATCGAGAAACGAGCTGTAATGAATTTTTGAGACATTGGGATACGTACGGTTGTCTATCTTGAAAACACTTTTCACTCATTTCATCATCCGCATAACCTCGTTTTGTTTCCGCAGTTCTTCTACAGATTATACTTTCAGTTGTTTCTTTTGAGCTATATTAGTCACCCAGGGTGAACTGTCCATGGCTGAAGCATTCACCGATCTTACCTTTCGTTATAAGTCATAATCTGTTACTTACATAATTAGATTTGTGGATGAGTCTTTTGCCCATGTGGGTGAAGTGAGTTTCACTCTCGCGCTTTTTTGAAGTTTTGATCAGCTGTGAGGTAATGTTAGTGATGAATTCCATTTTCTTACATCAGGTCAGTATCTGCACATTTATTATTCTTAGAGACCTTGTATCAATTTTAAATAAAAATGAAGGTCATCATCGCTGTATGGATGTATGTTGTTTCTTCACGCATGCGTGTGACTTGTTTTTCCACTTCGAAGTAATCTTCCAACTTATTTGTACGTATCAAGTGGATTTCTACGCAAATATGCTCCTTTTCATGGCAGATTGTGAGCAATCCCCAGCTCTGTCTTTCTTTTTTCTGCATTTGATTGCTACCTTCATTGTAAAGAACAAGTCCTATAGAAAAAGTTTCGTAGAATGCTGGGGCAAGTAGATGGCAAGTACCGAATATAGGTAATTTTAGGTTTGTGAAGACGAATGATAGATTATGTAGTTAGTACTGCATATAATATTCCTAATATCTTAGCCAGTAGAATGACCTCCTGAGTAGACTGAGAGCTTTTTGTTTGAAAAATGTCCTGATCTATCATGCCATCCCTCGTCTTCTTACACTAGCAATTGCACTGTTTGTCCCTGATTACCGTACCATTCTTCTACATTGATGGCAATTATGAAGATTGCAAGTAGGATCAGAACCATCATACGTACGATGGTGCAACCAGGATTCAAGTCCCAAACATCCTACTAACCACTTTGCTCTTTAGTGAATATTGTCCAGTCATAATATTGTGTGAGAGTGATGACATTCTTCGGGCGAGTTTTGTGTCCGTTGCATATATCAATGGGCACAATTTAATCATACTGCGTTCTCCTGTTTCTTTCATATTCTTATGTTTGTCTGTTTTGCTTGTGAACCTCTTCTTTAAGTATTTTTGTCTTTGTTTGTCTTTGATGCAGGTCCTACAATCTTATTCTTTCAAGAGAATGCTGGCAGTATCCTACTACCTGCCTACTTAACGGAGGGCGATAGTCTTGATTCATTTACATGTGTTGATATGTTGTTGTCGCGTCGTGCCAGTCAGCTTCATCTTCCTGTTGAATATTAGTTGTGTTCTATTTCTCTTAGTCTGAACAAGGGGAACAAATTTCAAAGGTTTTCCTTCTTCTGGGCTCTGAGAACTTCGCCATAAATGCACCAGCTGTTCATGCCAAGTGTTTGTTTGTGCCAAGTGTCAGTTGATGTAGTTGCACCGTTTACAATCGAAGTACCAAATCGCAATTGAACGTCAAAATTTGAGATAATGTAGAGAATGAGATATTGCTATTGAAGTATTCGCTTCAGTATGGAGTATAAATCTATAATTATGGTCGAATGAATCCTCATGTATATGAGCATCTCTGTCAGTACCCTTATGCCCCGGAAACCTTAATAAAGATGATATCAGACATTGCACATCGCTTGGAGTTTGTCAATTTAATGCTGCAGCGACTGAACTGTAATGTTTTCATGCTTTCCTATCGAGGGTGAGATTATTACAACCCTGATTCTGTCTGTCCTTGGAAGGAGACGCTATTTTGTTTTATTTGGTCTTACCCCCAGCAGATTGCTTGATTCTAGTTCATTTGATATATATTTCTGATTTTGTTTAGTACTCCTGTCTTTATAGGAGGAATATTCCCAATGTTCTTTGGTGATAATGTGATTCTCTCTCACACGGATAATCTATCTGCAGATATGGAGACAGTGATGGATTTCCTTCTCAACATGGTCTTACGATGGATGCACAGGTATGAGTCATAAATCATGACCTTCTTTCTCGAATGGAATGTGATGTAGTTCAATTTACTTTGAGGATGGGGACACACCTGTTTACCTACTTCGGAAGACTGGTCTGTAAAATCATATTTTATGTCTGCTTCCTTCAAGTTACTCAAGTTCTTTATGTTGAAGGCAATAGATTATCTGTATTTTCTCAGGAAGCGTCATATCCTTCGTTTCTCTCCTTCCTCATAATTGGTTCCAATGTCTGGGTTCCCAGATTTTGGTGCTTAGACAGCTTACATCTAGACTATTGGATGTTGCCGCAGAGTGTGATCAAAATAAATTTCTAAGTAAACCTGCAGTGTTTTTCTGTCAGATGAGAATGAGACTGAGAAGCAATTTAACGACCATGTTCTTCGTCCTCTACGAGACCATGACAGAGATATGATAATTGACGAGATATGATTGTGTTTGCAGGCAGCTTTGGACCATTTGTTACAAAGGACTGACATTGACCCAACTAGAATCGTTGTCTTTGGAAGATCACTGGGTGGTGCTGTAGGATCTGCACTTGTGGCCAACAACCCTGGCAAGGTGCGTACGGGCTCCAGCAGTCCCTAAAGTGACTTTCTTGATGTTACTTAAGATCTATGATGTTTGTGATTAGGACTTGCATTGTGGACTTCTATCATTATTGCCTGTAGGTCCCCTCAGCAACGACCAATGAACACAATCAAAATCCTTCTTGACTTGGATTCACTTTGTGTATTGGATGCTGTTTGTTCTTTTTTTGAAGCTAAACACACTTTTTATGAAATTTGTGTCACAATAGGATTTGAGCCCACAACTTATAATAATATTGAGATACTTGTCAATGAATTGCATATTGAAGGGTGAGACTATCTCTCGATATGTGAGATGATAATGTATAATTGTGCGTTCACATAGAAATGTCACACATTGTCCTGATAGTCCTCAGAGCCTTGGCTACCTTCCCGTTCCTGCTCAATCAAAAGAATGGGCACATTATTTGTTGTTAGGCCATCTGTCCGTTCCGTATCCTACATCTCGCCTTTATAAGCACGCTGCGATGTTTACTTGTATCATCATCAACCTCTTGCTTCCACTTTGATTGTGGATCAGCGTGATTACGACCTCTATCATCTTTGCAGTTGTTCTTTAAAGTACAGCAGATAGTCCCGCTCACGACCCCATCAGGAATGTATCAGAGAATGGTCATGCTATTTTGAGAGTGTTTAATATCACGACATGGAGTAACCCTCTCTAATTTCCTTTCCGTCGTTGTGTTTAGAAATGTAATCTCGTTCGTCGTCCTGTACGGCTTGTTGACAATTTAAAGTCGTCGTTGCTTTTATATACCTCGCAGGTTGCTCTTTACAGTAGGAGCTGGTTTTTTCAGTAATTGATAATACAACTAATGCTGGATATTAGTATCCATCATTGACCATTAGTCAGATAAATTATAATGTCTTAGTTTGGGGGAAGATGTATCGCAAAGCTTATTGTCAAAGGATCAGGCTCAAGGTCAAAAAAGTGTGTCAGAGTTTTGTGACGCCATTTACCTTTGGAAGAAGTGAAAGCTGTACAACTCATCCGTCTATCTCGGATACTATTAATTGATGTTTTTTTGTTGCTGCAGATTTCTGCCCTTATTCTGGAGAACACTTTCACGTCCGTGCTAGATATGGCGGGAGTTATGCTACCTCTCTTGAAGTATGTGATTGGAGGTACAGGAAGTCCCGGTCTTCGTATGCTGAACTTTCTCGTGAGGTCTCCATGGAGCACCATTGATATTGTGAGCAAAGTAAGTATGCCTATATCTGAACCAGAGACGAAATCATCAGTAACAGATATCAGTGTGGTTCATAAAGAGTGTGATAAGGATTCTCACCGCGCAATGTTGTTCCAAGATGGATCACTCGATACGTGTTTTGCAGTGTTCTCATCTTTGTTTACCTACTCGATCTCACTACATCTTCATGTACATCTACTATAGTCTGATCTCTTCCCTTTGCATTAATCAAGCAGGGGTCGGGTATTTTGATGTCCTGATCCCCGTCCTCCCCTCCCTCTTCTGTTTCTTTCACGAGGGTTTCTTGTGTCTATGCCTTAGATATATAGCCCTTTATCATATCTTTACTTCGACAGCGGCATTCCTACCGTATCTTCAGTGCTGAATCTAGAACCGGTCTTCGTGCTTTGGTTGTCTTTGTTTCTCCTGAGAACTTTGGATCCCGGCATTAGCAATGGTTCGCTCAGGGTATCACTGTCCACCCTTCTTTGCGGCATCTGAGCACTAGGCTTGGTCAATCTAACATGCCGTGTCGTTCCATGTTTCAGATCGAAAACCCAATACTGTTTTTATCCGGGTTGAGAGACGAGATGGTTCCGCCCAGCCACATGCGTAGACTTTACGATGCTGCCCAACTCAACGCCGATCGACAGCTGATCGAGTTCCCCAACGGCATGCACATGGACACTTGGCTGAAAGGCGGGGACCGGTACTGGCGTGTTTTGCAGCTCTATCTGGACAAGCATGCGAGTGGGAGCGGGCATGGAGCAACTTTCAGTAGTGATATAAGCAGCAATGGAGGGGTTAGCGAAAGCCGAAGTCAAATTTCGGAGCAACCAAAATATGAGTTGTAGGTAGGTGATGTGAAATAGAAGGAACGTAGTGTGAGGATGCTTTTGGTCAGTTCTGCGACCGCTGCTGCAGCTGCAGCAGCGGCAGAACTCTCCCTCGCACTAGAGTTGGTAGGCCTCCCTCCGCCTGCGCACTGCTGCGGGTTGGTTCGAGGGGGCAAGTCCGTCCACACCCACCGGGAACGAGCCTCCAGTCTTGTCGTTAGAAGAAGTTCATGGAACTGGATTCATAGCCAGCACGCTGTGCTGCGCCTGGCCATATCAGGGTCCGGGCTGCGAGTGGACAACTTTGGAAAATCTTTTCAGTGCTCGCAGGCTACATGAAGTCTCTGGCTGCCAGCTGTCGACATGCTGCTCCTCGAGTAGAAGAAGAGCGAGCTATGTAAATTATTTCTTATCGAAATGGAAATTGGTGTAGATGGAATATTGTCCAACCGTGGCCGGGGCTGGCTGGCTGGTTCGCCGGTTCGCTGGCCCACTTTCCGAGCCTGATATCATGTCCCCTCTTGTCAGATGGTTGAGATTTGTCGAGGTTCGAGTGATGTTTGTGCTGCTGCATAGTGTTTTGCTTTGTTGTTACATGGAGGAGGGCGGCGAGGAGGAGGAGGAGGACGCGACGGACGGACGGAGGGAAGAGAGTAGCAGAGCAGAGCAGAGCAGAGCTGTGCAGGTTGACTCCACTTGCCCTAACTTTGGCCTCCTACGAGAAGCCTGACTGTTGGGGATATTGTTTTGGAATCCCAGACCTTTTACCTTTTTGCATCGAATTGAGGCTTTCTCCTCCGCCCGACCCGTCCAGCCATTGGCGGCGCGCAGATACTCTAGTCGAGGACAAGATAAAAAGATCGGCTCGCGGCTTAAATCTAACGATGTTTCGTCCAGCTTAGCTTCCCCGCCATGGTCTTGTTGTCGGTAGCAGCAGCACGAGGGCGAGGAGAGGTCAGGGGCTCCTGGAAAGAAACTTCTCATGGCGCCAGAGGACCTCGCGGCTTTTTTAAGCCTTTTGCTTACTTTATGATTTTTCTTTCTGCGCGTCCTCTTGTACAACTCGCCGGGACATGGATTCTAATGCCGGCTCGGCCGCTCCCGAAGCCCCGGCCCAATCGGCCACCGCGAGCCCAACCTAACTCGGGTCGAGGCTGCCGCACGCATCAATGGCGAGCCGAAATGGGCCTGGCCGTCGGCTCGACCCCACGGAACGAGCGAGCGAGCGACTGACCCGAGGGGGTCTTCCCGTTCCGGTCGTACCATTCTGGGTGTCTGGCAGGGGCAGCATTCACTGTGGCGCACTGGCCAGCGCTTTTTCGATTCACCACACCATGAGGTTAGTGCGTGCTTGCTGGAGGCGAATCGCTAGCCGCCACCACTCGTCTACGGCGACCACTAGCAATTCTACTTCCCAACCCACTACGATCGTAGTTGGGTGATGATGGGGTCGTCCCCCCGGGGTCGTCTCCCCCTCCCTCTCTCGTCCCGTCGTACTCTCTCGCCCCAGCCCCAGCCCCAGCCCCAGCGCCGTGTATTCGACTTCGTAAGGAAGCTGGAGCGAAAGAGACAGGAAAACATACACCCCCAGGTATGAATGATTTCGTCACTGCGTGCCTCTCTGCCTGCCTGCCTTCCTGCCTGCCTCTGCTGCTCGCTCCTCTCTCGGCGAGTGCCTCACACTCGCCTCAACATGATGCATCCCATCTGGTGATTCTTTCTGCCCTAACGACCAAGACAGAAAGCCAGCCCAGCCCAGCTCTGCCGAGGCAGGCAGGCAGCGAGCCAGCCTCGAGTCCCCAAAGTACGAAATCGGCCAAGGCCGAGAGAGAGAGCATGGAATGGAAGAACCCAGTGCCATCATCCCACACCTTCTTATACCTCATCTGCTTTGATACTATCAAAACCCAGAAAGACGACTACGGACGCACAGCAGCAGCCAGACAGCCAGCCGGCCGGCCGGCCAGCGAGCCAAGGAGCCAGTCAGGCACCGAGCCGAGGCAGCCGGCTATGCCATGCCATCCCAGCCCAGTCCAGTCCAGCCTAGATCTTCCAGGCTTCCGAGGCCATACGAAGAGTAAAATCAATCAATCAACATTGAAGATCCATTTGGGAAGGACAGAATTCGTTAAATATACATGCGCTGAGTTTTGGGAGGACTTGCAGGGACGACACATGGTGATCTTGTGTACACGTTGGTGATGGAGAGAGCGGCTGGCTCGCTTGCTGGCTGGCAGAGTCTGCCTGTCTGTCTGTCTGGCCATCGTCTTCCATCCCGTCCCTTGTTTCGCCTTCGCTTCTCTGAGGAGCAAGTGCTGGGAAACTGCAGGACTGTCTTGGCGAGCGAGCGAGAGAGGGAGAGTGAAAGAGCAGTTATACAGCAAATCCGATGAGAGCAAGTGAGGATCTTCTTCGGAACATCTTTTTTGTCTGCGACTTGGTGATTAGCGACCACCTCTTGGCGTGGTGGATAATCAGTGAAGAATGGCGTGAAGAGTGTGGGAAGAGAAGGGCAGCCCCAGGGTTAAGCTGGTGGCATGTGCTGTTGCTAGCTTCCATTCGATGTCATATTGTCTGTCTTTGCCACCAGCACCCCCATAAGGCTGTACCTCCTCCGACCCTACCTCCGTCCCTCCATCCCTCCCATTCCAGCCCAGCCCAATGTCACTCACAGCAGCACAGCGAGGCGAGCAGGGGGGAGGGCCAGTCCAGAGATCTGTGCAGTGCAGTGCAGAGCAGAGGAGTGCAGAGAGTAGGACATTTCACTCCATGGGAGAGGGAGGGAAGGAGTGAGTGAGTGAGTGAACGAACAGAGGCAACATTTGGCCATCGAGGGGAGGGATCATCTGCCAGGCCAGTCCAGGTGGTTACGCAAGCAAGGACGAAATACTATAGGGGGAAAAAGCCCACGAGGAAGGAACTATATTTGGTCAGATTGGCCTCCTTTCTCCATGTGGAGCCAGAGCATCAATCGTCTGCATTGTCCTTTTCTTCCCCTTTTCTCCCCTTACACGCGCGCCATGTTCCCTCCCCCCTTCGTAACTCACTCGGACATGGCAGCTGCACTGCTGCAGTAATGAGCCACTGTAGTGCCTGTTTCAACCCCAATATCAACCCTCGCACTCACTCGACCTGTGCTGGCAAAAGATCCACCATGAGCACGAAGAGCAAGAGTTTTCCAAATGCCCAATCTCACCATCCCCTCCCTTCGTCATCCACCCCACTTCAAATCCCATCTCGTCTCATTTCATTTCCGCCTTGCCATGTCCTCGTTCACCTGTCGCCTCGTCCCGAATCCAGTCAGTCTACAATCCCAGTCCACAGCAGCAACCAGTCCTACGATAGTCGAGTCCACTTGTTGCCTTGAGCTCCGTGTCTCGGATCAATGATCAACGGCAACTTGGAGGATTTGGTGGTTGCTCATCGTACCACCACCAGCTCCATGCTCCATTCTCCATGCTCTCATGGACGCGCGGTTGGGCTATTTATTTATCCACACTAAATATTGTGTGTGCACATCTGGCTGGCTGGCTGGCTGGCTCCCCCCTCGTTTTGACCACATTGTCATTTTGGGGAGTGGGGTTTGAACTCTGAGCCAAATCTGCTCGCTCGCTGGGACGCTACGAGCATGAGACTTGGTGATTAATCCGGTTTCACATTCGTCCAGAATGCGATGCAATGCAACGCAATGGCTGCCTTGCCCTCCCTCAACGGTCCAAAAGCGGAAACGTGGGAGTTTGGATGGTCCTTGTGCCACAAGCTCACAATAATCCCCTCGCGTGATCTTTCCGAATTCCCAGTGGGCTGCGTTTACGCCTGCCTATCAGAGCCGCGCTCTGTCACTCTCGCCCTCGTCTCTCTCCTTGTCATGATTCGGAATCTCCAAATACTAGGCCCCCCTCGATCCCTCCCTCACTTCCTTTCCTTTCCTTTCCTTCCCTTCCCTTCCCTTCCTTCCATCCCTTCTTTCCTTCGTTCTTTGTCTTCTGGTCTGCTCTGCTCTGCTACGGTCGTGAGCAGCTCACACCGTCTCATCTCCTATGATCTCATCGGGATAATCACATGATTGATTTGTGGTGTGTAACAGTACCATACATCTTCGCAGTTTGGATTTTCTAGCGGTTCTCGCAATGCACTCGGGTCCGAGTTCCTACATGCATTGAATATTCTTCTCGACCCAGCAGCATATGCGTCCTTACGCTTTCTTGCCATATCTGTTGGATCTCCATAGCCATAAAGTCACGTTGTTGAATCTTCTTAGACTTCTGCTGGTCGGTTTCCCTTTTTGCTTCTCATGCTGCCTGCTGCTGCTTCTGCTTCTGCTTCTGCTGCCCCTCATGTCATGCCATGCCCTTGTGTAGCGCCCGGCTCAACTTGGCCCAGTTGGGCTCCTTCTAAATACTTTTCTATCCCGGCGAAGTTGAATCATAAAGCAATGTGGGGGTGCTGATGTCACTCATCTGATTCTTGTGAGGAGCAACAGGTGAGCTCCTTTTGGTGTTTCAGGACCCCATTCCTTCTTCGAGAATCTTGCGAGATTTTAAAACATTATTTCCTGCCGAAGTACCGAGTCAATTCTAGTCTGGAGTCGAGTCCATGAAACCAATAGTGAACTTGCATTTGTCTTCTTTCTTGCTTCTTGCTCTCTCTCGCACCCTCGCACAGTTTGGAACATCATGCTTTTATTCATCCAGTGTTGGAGAAGGTACCAACAGCTGGTACTAACTGCCAAGGCCGAATATCGAAGGCTAATTGCCATGGGTGCTTTGGTTTATCTGATTTGATTGGGTCTTAAGGAGAACAATCAACCGATCAATCAGTTGGCTCATCGATCCATCTAAAATACAGATGTGGAATACAAGTAAAGTACAAGGAGGGAATTAGAATCCATCAGCAATGGAGTTCGTATCCAATGGAAGACAATACTCTTCCATCGCTTCCGTTGGGAGCCCCAACAAAACCTTCTGTTTTGACTTTTCCTCCAAGTCTCTCGTCCTATATTCTTCGGATTTGGGTTGTCACAAATCGAAGTTGTTGAGTTTGAAATCCGCTCCTCAACTGTCGGAAAGCTTAAGTATGAACCTCATTGACTCGACTCGTCATCACTCACACTCGAGCCCTTCACCATCCTCCAAAAGTTCAAACGTGATTTGTTATCCAGCGGGGAGAAGCTAAGCAGCCCCTCCACATGTCCTTCCCTTTCCACATCATGGCCTACCTAGACACCACATCTGTGTGTTAATCCATATCTACGAGCTGAATTTCGTGCCTAAGATAAAGTAACTAGGATTCAACAGAATACGCATGTTTGTGTCGCATGATCATCCAACAGCAAGAGCTCTTGGACTATTATTCTCCACAGCAAGGTTTTACATGCAGACCTTTTTTTGATTGAAGTAAAATATTTCAATTCATGCCAGTGAACAATAGCTAGCAGTGAACAGCAG